GAGGAGATTGTTTCAATACTTATAAAGATTTATTCAGTTTGCACATATAATCTTCCTTCCCCTTTTCGACATACTTTTAAGGTTGCCTCATAAGGATTGTTTCATCTAGATTACCATACAAGAATGCAGTCTTCACATCCATCTGTTCCGGTTCAAGGTCGAACTGTGCCACTATGGCAAGCAACATTTGAATGGATATGTGCTTCACAATAAGAGAGAACACATCATTAAAGTCGAAACCTTCTTTATGAGTGAACCCCCTAGCGACCAATCTTGCCTTATATCTCTTCGACGCCACTCCTTCAATCCATTCTTTAACTTTGAAAATCCATTTACAACTGACTAACATGTCTTCAGCAGGTTTCTTGATCAGTTCCCAGGTGTTGTTATCATGAAGAGATTTCATCTCATCATCCATGACCTTCGCCCATTCAGTCTTCTTTCGACTCCTCATAACTTCCTTATAGTCTCTAGGTTCTTCATCTAGAACCTTACTTGCAGATATTAAGGCATAAGCTATAAGATCTGCATACCCAAGTCTCTGAGGTGACTTGATAACTCTCCTCGACCTGTCTCTTGCTAGCAGGTAGTTATTATCAGTCTCCTTATCTTCGACAACATCTTCTACGTCTTCTTCGACTTCATCTGGGATACATAATTCAGCATCAACATGCTTCACCTCAACAGGATCTCTCCTGTTCCAGCTCTTCGTCAGTATCATCAGTTTTCTTGAAAGCCATCTCTGCTTCATTATAAAATACATTTCGAATGGTGATACACTTTCTGTAACCTAGCTCTAGGCACCATAGCATATAAGTTTTGACTCCTTCGACCTTGTCTTTCCTAATATGAGCATAGGCCATGCAGTCAAATTCTCTCAGTCTGTCGAAACTAGGTGGATGTCCCTACCAAACTTCTTAAGGTGTCTTCATTCCTAAGGCAATCGAGGGACATCTATTTTTCAAATAGGCTTCTATCGAAACAACCTCGGCCCAAAACTCATTCTTCAATCCAACACTAACCAACATGCATCTAACCCTTTCAAGGATTGTTCGATTGAATCTCTCAGCTAAGCCATTTTGTTAAGGAGTAACTGCTACAGTCTTATTCCTTGCAATCCCAGACTCAACACCGTAACTGTCGAACGCTTCATCGCAGAACTCAAGGCCATTGTCGGTTCTCAACCTCTTAACCTTTCTGCCAGTTTGAGTTTCGACCAGAATCTTCAAACTTTTGAAATTATCAAAAGTTTCATCCTTTTTCTTTTGGATGAATACCCATGGCTTTCTGGAATAGTCACTAACGATTAATAGAAAAAAACCTTGCACCTGAGTGTGAAGGATTCCTTGCAGGCCCCCAAAGATCAGCATGAATGTAATCTGGGGATCCATGTGTTCTTTGCTTACCTTTGTTAAACTTCGCCCTATATGATTTACCAAATACACAAGATTCACAAAACTCCAACTTTTCGACTTTGTCACCTCCTAGCAGGTTCTGCTTCCCCAATTCGACCATGCCTCTTTCGCTGACATGGCCCAATCTCATGTGCCATAATTCTGTCTTCGACACAGGTTTTGTGGATGCAACATTTTTCGAACCAGTTACAACCTCAGCCTCAAGGGTATATAAGCCTTTTTTTCTTCACGCCTCTCAAGACTTCCTTCGACCCCTTCATGACTTTTAGGATACTTTTCTCTCCTTGAAAAACGTATCCCTTTCTGTCGAGTTCACCAAGAGAAATCAAAATTCTCTTCAAGTCAGGTATATAACTGACTTTAGTCAATAACCTTATTGAATCATGATGGAGCTTGAATCTTACATATCTAATACCTGCAATTTTGAAAGATTTGTTGTTTCCTAGTAGCATCGATCCACCATCTTGATCACATAGCTCCTCAAACAATTCTCTATTTGGAGTCATGTGCCAAGTCCAACCTGAATCCATAATCCACTATTTTCTTGAGTCGCCACTTGAAACCACAAGAACATCAGATGAGTCGAAGTCATCTTAAACAATGGTGGCGTTTCCATTACCTCCATGATCTTTCGGGCGTTCAGGGCGCACCTTTCTTGTGTGACCCTCTTTCTTACAGTGATAACATTGAATACCAGATGTTTCGCCACTATAAGACTTTTGCTGACTTTTACATTTCTTCTTGCCGAGCTTATCATCCTTTCACAAGTATTTTCCCTTAACGGTCAAACCTTCTCCTATCGTCGAAGGTTTATACTCCTTTCATTTGTTCAAGTCCTTAAAATACAAGGCTGATTGAACTTCTTTAAAGCTCAGGGGCTCCCTTCCACATAAGAGAGTTTATTCGAAGTGAGCATGTATTATGGGCAAAGCACACAACAACAACAATGTTTGATCTTCATCATTGATCTTTACATTAATATTTTCAAGATCAAGAACCAGCTTGTTAAACATATGCAATTGCTCAGCCAACACTTTGTCTTCAGTCATCTTGAATGAATATAAAGCTTGCTTCAGGTAGAGTAGATTCACCATAGATTTGGTCATGTACAAACTTTCAAGTTTCACCCATAATCCACATGTTGTAGTCTCCTTTGATACCTGTCAAAGAACCTTATCGCCAAGGCTCAACAATATTACGCTGTGGGCTTTCTCAATCATGCCCGTCTTTTCTTTTGCCATTAACACAGCGTCCATGGTTGCATCTCCCTTCAACACTTCCAAACAACCATGCTGAACTAGTAGAGCTTTCATCTTCAAGTTCCAGAGATCAAATTCGTTTACTCCGGTGAACTTTTCAATCTCATACTTTGTTGAAGTCATCTTCTCCATGCTCACCACACTAATTTTTTGTGAATTGGATGTCTTGAAACAAAATATAAACGATTTTTTTATAATAAAAAAACATACAAGGGTTAGGGTTAACAAAGAAAAAAGGTAAAACAACAAGGAATAACAAGAATTGGTTATAAACTGCTTTGCTTTCTCTTAGAAACAAGATTAGAAGTATACAAGAATAATAAAATAACATCACTCTCTTGAAATTAAGATTTTATCTTCCTATTTTTTCTTATGCCAAGATGAGAGACTAGCATGCTATTTATAAGAAAATTAGCACACTAACCTAATGGACTTTTAACAATTACCCATTACAAGCTAACTTAGGATACAAGCTAACTTAAACAATTGAGCTTACAAGCAAGACCCAATTCAACATGCTAACAAACCTAGTAATATTGACTTATGCAAGTTAGAACAAACTTCGACTACAACACACATTACTCGCGAACCGACTTCGTCCATACTAGAGTTTAATCCAATATCTCACAACATTATAATGGCAGTGTCATGTTAGATTGATAAGGCCAATTTAAAAGGTTATCATATACGATAGAGTTGTATGTTGTTGAAGATTGATTTATTTCTTATGGTTTTTAAATATTAAAGTTTCGAAGAAAGTAACTATTGTAGAGCTCGAGGATTCAGTAGAAGCTATTTTAGGTTACATATTTCAGAATGGTCCAAGCAAAATTTCATGTTCTTTCTTTAGTCATTGTTGATTTTTTTATAAATTACAATCAATTTATTTATTATTAATCACGTTTAAGTGTTTTATAGTATGTTAATGAACTTTTTTTAAAATATTATTGGTTAAAAGTGAATTGAGTTATGTTTGAGTTGAGCAAGACGATATGAATGTAATAGTCATATTTGAAGTGATCCTACACCTACAAATAAATGAATTAAGACATAAATGAAAAATATGCAAGATATGTCTATCTTAGAATTAAGACATAAATGAAAAATATGCAAGACATGTCTATCTTAGAATTAAGAGAGTAGGAACATCATAGTTTAACCATATTAATAGTTTAGAATTTTGTACATCTTTTAAATTGACTCTATCAAATTAACATACGTGTACGAATTTCAATTTAATTGCAGATGCTCTTTCCGTCTCTTCATCATGTTCCTTTCTCATGAACTATTAATCATGTTTTTGTCATTTCACTTTAGTTGTTGGTACTATCTCCTCATATGTGAGTCACCTTATCATTCACAAAGGTACATTTTATATTTTGTTTTATATAATGCTATATTTTTTAATTTTAAGTTGGAAGTTCCTTATTTAGGACAAATATATGACAATATCATGAAGGAAAATGTTTATTCTCACGAAATATTATTTCACGACAAACTTGCGAATGACAATATAAACAAGTGTATATGACATGTTTTTTTCACTACAACAAAAATGACTTTTGGCAACAACTCAAAACCGCAACCTAAAGTGCAATAACCGTAGCCTAAACCTTTAGGGGGCGGTTTATCAGACGTGGAATAAACGGTTGTTGCCTATTCCTTTAGAGCGCGGTTTTTTATTTTATTTTTAACCACGGATTTAAAACACCGTTGCATAAATCATCAAATTCCACGGTTTTAGTTGTAGTTTTAGGCCGCGGTTTTCTAGTAACAACATAAAATAACCGTCCCCAAAACATGAATATACAACGGTTATAAAAAAGCAACAAATGAAAACTGTAGTTAATTTATAATTTCATTTAAAGAACCGCGCCTAAAACTTAGGAAAAGTCCACGGTTTTTAATAAGCAACCCTTAAAAAGCGTTGCCTATAAATTGAAAAATATTTGGTAAATATTAACTTTAAACTTAAAGATATAATTATTAAAAAATTTCCTATTCATTTATATGGTCATACATTTGAGCCATAAACCTTTATTTTATTCTAATATAGTATAAGTCAATATTATTAATTAAATGAGAAGAAACACATGTATAAATTAATCAAAACATATAAATATGAAGTATTAATAAGATGAAGTGTAATAAACACTTTGAAATGTAAGAACAAATATTTTCAAAATAAATCCAAACTCTTTGAAATATAATAAACTAATTAGGCGGTTTGTGTAACTCCATAAATTCCAAACTCTTTAAAATATAATAAACTAATTAGGTGGTTTATGTAACTCCATAAAACAAAACATAATTGTCTATATTTGAATCAGTGAAGGTCTTCATCATATTCATTGTACTGAGGATCATGAGAATCATCATCTTGAGAACCGTCAACTTGATCATGTTGAAGATCGTCATCTTGATCATATTGGAGATCATCATCAATATCAAAATGAAGATCGTCATCATCTTGAAGATCGTCGTCATCTTGGAGAACGTCATCTTGTTCATCTTGAGGATCATCTTCATTTCTAACCTGTAAATATGAAGAAATTTTTTATAAATTAATATAATTAAAAATAACTTGAGATTTATCAACTTTGTTCATGGTTTTGATGATGGATAATAGAGAAGAAAAAGTGAAAGAACTTATGAGAAAAAAGATGAAGAGGAATTAGAGATAGTAGTAGGAAGAATAAGCATGAAACTGAGTGTAAGTATATATATATATATATATATATATATATATATATATATATATATATATATATATATATATATATATATATATATATATATATATATATATATATATATATATATATATATATATATATATATATATATATATATATATATATATATATATATATATATATATATATATATATATATATATATATATATATATATATATATATATATATATATATATATATATATATATATATATATATATATATAACTAATGTATATACTAAGATTATAAGAATAAAAAAGCTACTATACTAAAAAAATGCAGCAACAGTAGTGAACCGCAGGTACAATATTATGCTAGCATTACCGTTGTCGGTTTGGTCTTGGCAGCAACTACTAATCTTTCACCTTTTCACTTTTTTACAGTACATCACCTATATTACATAGTATAAAGTAGTACTATAGTAACACATAACACATAATACTAAGCTAAACAAATATGTTTCATTTCATTCTTTAAACATTCTAAGACTATGTCAATAAAGTTAATTAAACAAAAGAGTTAATCCTAGGGGAGAACTCAATATAAGCAACATAAATTAGTATACTAAAGAAATACCAACTCAACACTTAGTAAAATAAATGCCAATTTTAATTAATATCAATTGTAGTACCTTTTGATGAGCAGGAGCATAGGTTAATGTCGATGAGCGCGGTGTTAGAATATTATCATTGTGCAAGGCTTCTCTCATCTTACCGTTTACTTCCTCTTCACTTAAATGTGGATTTTCTTGCATATACATGCTTTTCAAAAGTGCCTCCATTGCTCCCATCTTTTGTGTCATGTCAGAAATTTTACCATCATATTGCATTTTTATTAAAGAAATTTCTTCTTTTTTTTCCAACAATGATGGTGTAACAGTTCTTCCATAACATCTCACTCTACCGGGTTTTTCTTTTCCAAGTAGTGATTGAAATGTTTGTGTTCCAGCTTCAGTTGAAGTTTCAATAGATTCTTGAAGTTTATCCTAATATATCAAACTATCAATTTTGAACAAAATTAAAAACTACATGTGCCATTAAAATGGATATAATTTAACTTACAATCACAAACTGGGTTTCCTCATCCACTTGTTTTCCCTTGTGACTTTTTTGAGTTTCAATAAACATCTCAGCTTGAGTGACTTCTTGCCCATCCTTGTTTTCCCGCTACATTATTATTCATATATTAAAAATACAAAATAATAGTTAATAAGAGATCGAAAAAATACATTATTCTATTGAGAATCACGCACAAATACCATACCACTTTTGCACGAATTCTAGCAAAATTTGTCGGTCCTACACGATGCATAAACTTTTACTTGCTCCTATTAACTGCATTCTTTTGGCTAATATCCTATAATTAAAAAAACAAAAATTGGGTTGTTAGCCAAAAACGACAAACAACTTAAAGACGAAGACCCCTTCATCTCATAACTATAACAAATAGTTCATGATAAGATATAGCTCATCACACAAACACACACATGATTAACAACTAACACAATTTCTTAGATAATAATAGATTTTGATTCCCCTTCAAATTTTGAATACGTTATTAATGTAATATTAAGGAATTTCTAGAATTATAGAATTATAGCAGCAATCCAAAATTTCTAATAATCCAACATTGCAACTAATAATCCAACATTTATAGAATTATAGAATTATAGAATACACATGATTAACAACTAACAATCCAACATTGCACCCCTATTTCTAGAATTATAGCAGCAATTCAAAAATTCTAGAAAGTATTCCACTGACAGTGTGAATAATAATCTCTTAAGGTAATTTATTTAAATTTCTTTCTAATGTAATATTAAGGTAATTTAAATAGAAAGAAATTTCTATTTCTGGAATTATAGCAGCAATCCAACATTGCACCCCTATGATAATAATCATCAGTACTCTAACAACATTGCACCCCTATGATAATAATTACCAGTGATTTGTATGTTTTCTCAGCTGCAAAAAGTAGGAAATGTTACTTTTGCATACTGCAATTTTGCAGTCATTGGTCCCCAGTTTGTTTTGCTTTCATAACTTGAAAAAGAGCATAACCAATACTAATGTCATAAAAAAGGCAAGTATAGTTAAGAGCCAAGATATTAAAATTAAGAAACTAACATAATATTACATTTATTCTAAAAATAGATTTGTAATGAAAAAAAGTTAACATAATAACCAATCCAACATTGCACCCCTATTTCTGGAATTATAGCAGCAATTCAAAATTTCTAGAAAGTATTCCACTGACAGTGTGAATAATAATTTCTTAAGGTAATTTAATTAGGCATTTCCATAATCAATTGAAGAATAGTGGATAGTGGATGTTCATTTTAATTAGGTATTTCCATAATCAATTGAAGAATATAATTACATGAAATAATTCTGATTTATTTTAGAGGCAGTTCCAAAAATTATTGAGCAAAATAAATAACTTACTTGAATATGAGTATCTTTCCAATATACTAACAATTTCTTGAAATGAACTTCAGATATGCTCTTTGGATGGTGTTTTAATCTATCCTTCATATTAGAGTACTTTAGAAAATGATCTTTCTTGATAGAGTATTTGTGGCGTCTCCAAGCATCGTTTATTCGAGCATACACTGCTTTTTTTCCTCTCTCAGGAATGTTGAACTTCGTCTGCAAGAGTAAAAGAATGTTTGCCATTAATTATAGATACTTGATCATTAAAAAATTATGAAATTTTACTTCTCATACATTAATATATTTCCAAATATGATAATTATGACGCTTAGGATCTGTTTCATCTTTAAGCAACTCTTTGAAATTTGTATAGATCAATGGACAAAAATTTGCATTCTTTGCTATAGTTCCGAGGAAATAGCCCAAGTCAGAAACAGTTTGGTCATCAGGTCCAATTGGCTCTCCAAAGTCATCTAGAGTAACTTCTTGACGGTCTTTTACATCTCTTGCATATATTTTTAAACAACGCGTTGGTCCCCGTGTTCTTTTCTTAGTTGTCCCTGTTTTGACATCAAATAATATAATGTAAGATAAATTATCAAATACACACACATATGACTAATAAAATAAATTAATAATAAACTATTTTCTTGGTCTTAAATAAAATGAAACATCACCATTTTTTTTTGCGTCTCCCTCACATTCCACATTTTCTTCTTGTTCTTGTTCTTCTAAAACAATGTTTTCCTCATCTTCAATTAAGTTTTCCATCTCCTTCTCAACATCTCTTCCATTTTTTTCAAGAAAGTCACCAATTAACATTGATTGGCACAAAGGACTTCTTTTTGTCTTCTTGCAAGCACTTTGTTGCCTTGTCATTGATTCCTCTTCAGCCACTACCATTTTCTTCTGTTGATCTTTTCGTTGTTGATTCTTATTGTTACTTTCATGTTTTTCCCTTGACTCATCTTCAACAACTATTCTCTTAGATTGTTTCTTTGATCTTGAAATGTCATTCTCCAACGGTCCATCTCCAATTACCGTCTTTTTCATGGATTGCCTATTTGGATCCTGAATATGCATAGATGTAGATCTTCTAACTTGAGACAAAGACTGTCCTTTTGAATTTTGGATTTTAGAAACTAAAGGTTGATTCCTTTTAGAAATTAAAGATTGATCTTTTGGATCTTGAATCTTCAATCCTCTGTTTGTTTTTAAAGACACTTCCCTCTCTATACTTTTGGATCTTGGATCTTTTGGTCCTTAGTGGCTAACTTGTCCCAAAACAATCTCCATAATAGAACATAAATTTTATAAGGAAAGGACGAAGCCCACGTTATCTTCATAACAATCTCAGACCTATCATTCAATTCAATGATATTATTTACCTGCAAAATTAGCATATACCTAGAACAGACAGAATAAAAATTCTCATCTCCATGAGTCCACACATAGGAATCACTCTTATTATCATCTAAGTGCAGTTGCTCAATCAATGAGATGAATTTCTCAACTTTACGCAAGAAGAAGAAAAAATATTAGTGCAACCTTGTTCTTCAAACAACTTCCGCATCTCAGCCACAGTAGCATGCTGAGAAATGCTAGCTAAGAAAGACGACAGATAGACGTCCTTCAAAGAACTGCTGCCAAAACAACGAGAATTCCTGAAGGATAATGATCTTCCGTCACCCAACACTCCTCTGATCGAATCTGAAAATAGATCCATAGATAACAGCTTGTCATAACCGATCACCATTAAGTCACGCCACCATATTGAATCTGAGTTACTTCCACCTTTACCTTCCTTACACAACATAGCCAGACCAATGTTATTGTATTTCTGCACATACCTGAACCCCAAAATACCTTTCCATAATGCTTCTTCTTCCTTGATCAACCTCCATTTCCACTTCAACAAAAGAGCTTTATTGAAACACATAACGTTCTTGATATCCAGACCGCCTAGCTCTTTCGGTAAACAAACCCGCTTCCAACTTATCCAATGGATATTCCTTTTCTTCGTCATACCACCCCATAGGAAGTTAGCTTGAATTTTAGAGATAGTTTTCACAATCTGCACCGGAGCCTTATAAAATGAGAGATTGAAGATAGGAATTATATGCTTTCAAATATTCTCCTGACTTGTTGAACCTCAAGTAAACAAATCCTTGCTCATACTGTAATTCACTTGTATTGGACACCTTCATTGCTTTCCATCTCTGGATCATTTTTGACGGAAATCCGCCAGAGAATTCATTGTGAGATAGATCAATGATATGAAGTTTGGGAAATGTGCATGTCATGTTGCTAGAGCAAGTGATTTCTCCATGAAATTTATTGTTACTTAAAGCCAATACTTTTAACTCGGGTAGATCTCCTAGCCAGAATGGAAACAAATCGTCGATATTGTTATGGCTAATATCAAAGTACTCTAGCAATCCACAATTGACCAATGCTCTTGGCAACTGACCTTGAAGATTGTTGTTGCTGAAATCAATCATCTGAAGGGTATTTTCCATCTGGTATGTGTGAGGAATGAGACCGGACAATTTATTTCCCTTTAGCAAAATAACTTTTAGATATCGGCTAAAATTCCCTATACACGACGGAACATTGCCACTTAAGCTGTTGAATGATAAATCAAGACGCACAAGTGATTTGAGATTGCATATGGATGAGTTTATTTCTCCTGTCAATAAACTGTGGGAAATAGTTAAACTACCGCCAATACTCAAGTTTTTATTCTTCCACACTATTAGTTTATTCCTGAATAACTTGACCACATGATTCCACAACCGAATCTTATGAGGATTATCACCAACACGAATACCAAGGAATTTAAAAGGGAGGGAAATCACCTCACAGTTCAAAAACTCAGTAGTTGTATCAATAAAACCTTCCTTCAAAAACTCATTAGTTGTATCACCTCACAGTTCAAAAACTCAGTAGTTTGTTCAAATGTCTCTATATCCGCTATTTGACAACATTTAGTACTAACACATAGCAGAAAACTTAGCTACAAAGTTTAAGTGAAAATATATGACGTTGATATCAAAGACTTAGGCCTCATTCTTGGAGGACACTACAGAGAGTTGTGGCAACAACTTCAAATTCATCCTAACCAAAGTTGTATCCATACTTGCTATATTGAGAGACAAAGAGTAAACAAGACTCTCATTCTCTCTCTCTCTCTCTCTCTATATATATATATATATATATATATATATATATATATATATATATATAAATATATATCACCATAACCACAACCACAAACACAGATTAAAAAACAAAGTTCTGCTATTTCCTCATTACCATGGCAGAATCATGTCTACTATTCTATTATATATAAGAAGTAAAATACCTGAAAGTGAGAACAATACTGAAATCTGAAATTGAAAGGTTGGGTTTGAGACTGAAAGTCAAATGCAGAACTAAGATTGAGAGTGAATACCCTAAAGCAAAAATATGAACATGAGAGATTGAAAATTGCACATTATTATTATTATTTAGAAAATTAGAATGAGAAACTTACGTTTGAGAGATATAAGCAATGGATGAGAGAAGGGAGGACGGTTGCCAGAATGAATGAGAGTGAAAATATTCACTTGCAGAGAGATGAAAAGTTAGGGTTTAAACAACCCCCAACTTTGAGAAACTATATGGGGCGGATGAAAATTTTCAAATTTTAGAACATATTAACTAATTAATAAATTTAGAATTCAAATTAAAATCAAATGGCGTTAGTGTTCTGGTGGTTGTGAGGTTTTCCTATGAAGCAAGGGACTTGGGTTTAAGTCTTGATTTTGCCAGTTTTAGTAATATGCGAATAATTAATTTTAAAAAAATAAAAATAAAAAATACCACACTTCAAGT